CCCCCCCCGCCGTTCCCGTCTCACCCGCCAGGGGGCGCCCTCCACGTCCCTTTTCCCGCCCTTTTTCCGTTTTCCCGCCCTTTTCCCCCTTAAGCCCCGCCCCCTTTCCCAGCATGCCCCGCGCCCTATTTAAGCGCGCGTGAGGCGGCACCGCGGCCATTTTGTCTCTGGAGCGACCGCGTGAGGTGAGTCCGAGGTCGGTCCCGTCCGTACCCGGAGGGGCCTCTGAGGGGTCTCTGAGGGGCTGCGAAGGCCTCGGCAGCCGCCTTCACCCTCCCCGGGCCGGCAAAGGGAGCTCCCGGCAGCGCCGTTCGCCTCAGGGCGCCGCCATTTTAAAGCGCCCTCTGAAAGGGCTCCTGGAGGGGCCGGAGCTTTCCCGAGAGTCCTTCCAGGGACTTCTCGGAGCTCAGGGGGGGGTGACCGGGCCGCGGGGGCTGCTCGGGGATGAGTCTCTCACAGACCTGTGCTGACCACTCGGGTGAAGAGGTTTGAGTTCTCTGAGGGCTCGTCCTGCCCCGGCCTGTGGGTTGGTACCTTGATATTTACAATAATTGTGTTTCTGACGACTTCTTCTTGTTGTATTTTCAGCTTTTTAGGCTTTAAAATGGCGCCTCTGTGGAAGGTGAGCTTTAAACCCGGGTTTTAGGGTGTAAAAAAGCCGGATTTAATTAAAAAGGGCAGCAGTGCTGCGGGGATGATCCACTGAACTCTCTCTTGCTGATGATTTGGTGGAGAAGCTCCTAAACACGTTCTGAGTGGCACTGACACGAGTTTGGGGGGTCCAGACCCCTGGGGGGGATTTAAACCATCAAAAGGGGGGTGAGACCCTCCTTTAAATCTCATGGGGAGCTTTAGACCCCCCCTGTTGGGGATTAAACCCTGGTGGGGAGGGATTCAGGGCCTTTTAGGGGGGTTAAAACCGTGTTGAGAGGGTGAAAAAACCCTCGTGGGGGGGGGGTAAATCCTCATGGGGGGATTTAGACCCTCTTGAAAGAGGAGTTAAACCCACGTGGGAAGGTTTAGACCCACATGGGAGGGATAAAAGACTTTCACGAGAGTCAAAGTTTGTCCCCCGGGGTGGTTTAGTGGGGTCGTTTTGTTCCTAAATCACCATTTTAACCATTTTTTCCTCTCATTTTCAAGTCGTTAAACCATCACTGGGGGTCCCCACAGCCCTTGACCAGGTGAGCACCCTCTTTATGCCTCTTTTTTTAGGATTTTCAGCCTAAATTTTTTGTGCTTTCCCCGCGGAAAGCGAGAAAAGCTCCAAAATCCCCCCCGGGTGCAAATTTTGGGGGCTATTCCCCCTTTTTTTTGGCTGTTCAGTGACGAGTGACAAAGACAAGCATATGGCTGAGGGGCTCTGATGCAACGTGATTACTGAGAGCAGCTGGGGGGGGCTAATTAATTAACTAATAATAGCTAATTGATCAGAAAAGTTATAATTAAGCATAAATAATTTTTTATTTTCTAGGGTTGGGGCAGCAGGAGAAGAAAACGTTGCGGGATGAGGCGACTCAGAGTCACCCCCAGACCACCCTGAATTAACCCCAAAATGACTTAAACCCCCCCTGGGACCCCCCCACAGGTCAGTGACCCCCAAAACCCCTCTAAGACCCCCCCAGAACCCCGAAAACCCCCCAAAATCCCCCAAATCCGAAGCGATGACACCCTGGGCTGGAGGACGCGTCCGATGGCAGCTCCGAGTTACCAAAGCCCTGATCGGGTTTGGGGAGGGGGTCAAAGCCCCCCCTGGACCCCCCAGAGGGGGTCTGGGCCCTCTCCTGACTCTCCTCTCCTCTCTTAGATGCTCCAGTTGGGGATTCTCGAGGGTCCAGGTGAGTTTTTGGGGGGCCCAGGGGTGGGTTTGGGGTCCCTCAGGGGTTACAAATTCCACATGATGGGTTTGGGGGTCTCAGGGGTGGGTTTGGGGGTTCCAGGGGTGGATTTTGGGGGTCCTCCAGGGGTTATAAACTCCACAAGGTGGGTTTAGAGGTCTCAGGGGTGGATTTTGGGTGTTCTCCATGGCTTATAAAGTCCACATGATGGGTTGGGGGGTCTCGGGTGGGTTTTGGGTGTTTTCCAGGGGTTATAAAGTCCATATGGTGGGTTTAGGGGTCTCAGGTGTGGATTTTGGGGCACTCCAGGGGTTATAAACCTCACATGGTGGATTTGGCGGTCTCAGGGGTGGGTTTGGGGGGTCCTAGGGGTGGGTTTTGGGGTCCTCCAGGGGTTATAAACTGCACATGGTGGGTTTTGGGGTCCCAGGGGTGGGTTTTGGGGGTCCCCCAGGAGTTATAAACTCCACGTGTGGTTTTGGGGTTACCAGAGATGAGTTTTGGGGTATCCCAGAGGTTATAAAGTTTTGGGGGGATCTCTGTGGATAGTTTTGGGGGTCCCTGGGATGGTTTATGGGGTCCCAGGGGTGTGTTTTGGGGGTCCCTGGGGTGGGTTTCAGGATCCTGGGGGTCAATTTTGGGGTCTCCCCATGATGAG